TAACTGGTGAATTAAAAACTCCTTGACCAGTTTTTTTATTAAATACACCGATCAAAACAAAAAGTTATAATCTACTTGTATAAGGTAACCACCCCCCACCCCCCTCTTTTTGCTTAATAAACCCCTTACCATAGCAACTTCTTAATTAATAGCTGTACAAAAATTAATAAACCATGAAAATAGTAAAGATAATAATGAAAATAAATACTGGTATTGAAGATGATTTTTAGATATATTTACAAAAGCATGAAAAAAAATGTATTAACATGGCACAATTTGTATTAATAGGGCACCAAAGAGGTGCCATCCAATGCAAATTACAAGCTTCTCAAAAATATCAACAATGCCTACAAGATCCTTCAAAAGAAGAGGGAGTCCTTTAATGAAGAAACCAAGGTTAAGGAGGCAGTGGTCTCTAATCCTGCCAAAGGGAAACAAGTCTCAAAAAAATTTGTTCAGAGGCCTAAAAGTAGGACTGGGGAATCATGTCGAGGAGGTAACCCATTTATTCTTTACTGATGACGCTATGTTCTTTTTTGTGAGCCGGATAAGGGAGTCATACTAAATCTCATATGTTTCCTGTTGGGTTTTCAAGCAATCTCAGTACTCGGTATCAACCTTACTAAATCAGAGATGGTGAATTTGGGAAGGGAAAGAGATTCGGAGCAACTGGCCAGGGCTTTGGGTAGCAAAACGGCCAGTTTGCCTATACGATATTTGGATTGACCTCTGTGCACAAATTATAAGGATGCAAAGACGTGGGACCCAATGGTGGATAGGTTTGAACATAAACTTGCAGGGTGGAAGCGAGAACTCCTTTCTAAAGGGGGAAGGCTCACTCTACTTAAGAGTATACTGGGTGATTTACCTATTTATTATCTATCTCTTTTGACTATTCTGGTGAGCGTGGCTAGGAAACTAGAAGCTATATAAAGCAGGTTCCTGGGGGTGATACGGAAGGTAGAAAAAGATACCATCTGGCAGCATAGAATTAGCTCAAGAAACCACTACCCCTTGGTGGTCTAGGTTTACAATTTTTGGTGGAAAGAACAAGGTGCGGTAGGGTAAGTGGCTGTGGAGATTTATGAATGAGGAAGAAGCATATTGGAGAAGGATCATTGCAGCTAACTTTGGTATCGAAGAGAGAGGATGGTTCATCAAAATAGGGTCAATATCTCATGGCAAGAGTGTGTGGATAAAGATAAAAGCAGGTCGAGAAAAGTTCCAGGCGTGCATTAGGTGGAAGGTTGGTATGGGGGATAGATTTAGAGTTTGGGAGAATCACTGGCTGGAAGGAAGTATTCTCAGAGAAGCATCAAGAATCTGTCTACTCCAACTTTTTTTTTTTTTTTTTGGAAATAAAAAGTGTAAAATATTTTTCTAAAAATAAAAAAGTGTAAAATGTATTACTATAAGCACCAAAAAAGGGTGCAACCACATTACAAAAGATTTACAATGCAGTCTTCATGAGACAAACAAAGCAAAAAAAGTCTCCATGACCGCTGTTGGGTGACCCAGCAACAAAAACTCTAGGGTCCTCACCCATCTCACTATGTTCTTCTAAGAAAAAACTTGATATGTTTATATTAAATGTTACTCGAATAAATTCTTTTAAATACTTCAATGTTATATTTCATTTGTTATCTACAAGGCTATGTTTGGAACAAATCTAAAAATTTTTTGAAATTCATTGTAAATTCACACTTAATTCATCGAGAATATAGTGAAAATCTATTTTAAATGAAAAATGAAAATGACCTCATATGGAATTCCATGTAAAATTGGAACAATGTCTTCCAAATTCCACTAAAATTAATGGAATTTAAAATACATTCTTTCAATTATATATTAACTACCAATTCTTTTGTTATCTCGAGATAATGTACATCATCTCCTAATTGATCTAAGCGTAGATTTGCAAACGAATTCCACAAAATCTTCATCTTTCTTGTAAACATAGTGTGAATCTACTTTTATGTTTTTTTATAAATTTGGTCCAACTAGTTTAGGCTCTTGGCTATTCATTAAGTTATGAAATATTCCATTTCTCTTCTCTTATTAATTCTACAGATTACTAAAATGGAGGATTTGGGACATACAATTGACTGAATTTTTGGGTCAAAGATTTAGATCTATAAGTTCTTAACTTAATTTTGGTTTTAGGTAAGGATATTAGTTTTTATTTAAGGAGCTTTATTTTTTTATTTTCAAGATAAAGAACCAACTTGTATACTTTATTAGTTTTTAATGTTTCAAGTAATTGTTATTGTCTTCGCTTGAGGATTGTTTAAAGTCTTGCATATTTATGTATTTTCTCATAAATGTGCACTTTGACGTGCCTAATGTTGGTCCTCAAGCATCAAAATAAGATTAAGGAAGCAACATAACAAAAAAATGTGGTATTTAAAAAAAACAAAAGAAAAATGTGGGACGGTGGTACGGAGTTATATAACTTCTACAAAGAGACAGAAAATCATAGAATAAGTCATTCCAGTGTTATAGTAGCCAAAATACAATAAATATAACTGTAGAAAGTACTTTATGTTTAACAACATACCAGTACGGGCACAGCCAGAAGGATTAGATGGTGGGACATAATCAGAACATGGACGAGCAATTTGCCAAATCCGTTCATCAGATGCTGAACGATCATTAGACGGTTGCCTATGCTTCTTGCAAAAGGAAAGAAAGCGAATGCACTGATCTTCTTCATCATCATCTACAGAAAGGAGATGGAGCCTATCCTCATCCTCAAGCTATGCAACCAAAAAGAGAATAAATATACAAGGAGTTTATGAGCCATATTATCTATCAGCAACACTAAGGAAAACATCCTGTATAACACCAAGCCAATAAAAGTATACAATAAAATCCCCAGAATCACCTGAGGATAACAAAATACCTCAACACAAAGACCAGCAGCACGCGCACACAGTGGATGATATGCCACCCGACAAGAATTGTTTGAACACTGTAAACAATGAGTATAATCACTTTATTATTGCTCAGAGATGGTCTTGGAATGTAACATCTTCACAGCCGGAAGTTCCAACTTCCGGTAGTGATGTTAAATTCCGCAGGAAAAACTGGAAGTAGAGAACATAATAGTTACAACCAAGCACACAACTGGGCTCAGAATGGGTGGAGCACAAGGACATAATCACAGGCTTCACACATTTATAGCTTCCTTCTCAGAAAAAAAAAAAAAAAAAGAAAAAAAAAGTTATACTCACCTCTTCATGAAGACACTAGTTATAAAATCAAAATAATATAACTAGTGTCTTCATTGGTCTTCCTCTGTAACTTGATGTAGAAGTGTATTATAACCCTATATTATTTTGATTTTTTTTTAAATGAAATCTTCAAACTCAAATTTCTACACCAAGTTTTAATATATTTTTACACCAAGTCACAAAGGAAGACAAATTTCTCAAATATTCGAATGGAAGAGAAAACATATGAGATGAAAGGGGACAAATAAAACCATTTGGTACATCATATATAAGCTAAATAACTATTGTCTTCAGTTGAACCATGTTCTATATAACTAGAAGTTGAATTACTCTCAAAAATAAACCAATTAGCCTTTTGTTTCTTTCTTAATCATCCTGATTTTCCTTCTTCTTCCAATAATTTTGTATGATATAATTAAACGAAAGATACTTCAGATCTACAGCCATAAAAAATTATCATTGTTCCCTTCAGAGCATAGCATAGTTCTCCCAAATTTGGAAAAACTTCTGATATCACATTGACAACGAAAAATACCATCCTGATTTTAGGGATGACTTCTATTATTTTGACTCAATATTAGAAATCAAAACAATGAATGGATTCCGAAAAGGAAAGAAACCATAATGGTAAATCCATCATGGTTGATTAATAACCAATTTATGATCTTACTTGGATACAAGCTCCATATGCTACACCACAGATGCTACATAACAGCTTCCAACGGTCCTGTTCAAAAGAGGATTAGCATTAGATAAACACATGATATTCCTTTATCTGATTCTCTATTCTCAAGTATTAATGGCAATGCTACACTGGATAATCCTCACCAAGAAAAAGCTATGGCCGGGGGGAAATTATTAAAACCAAACAACTGTCTCAGCAATAGCAGGAGTATCTTCAACAGCATAAAAGGAAGAGTACCTTACTAATTCTATTTAGTCCATCAATTGGCTCCATCCTCTTGATATCAGATAAGCATGTTTCTGAAAAAGAATAACACAAGTCAACCTCTATTCATTGAAAAAAATAACTAAAACCAATGAGTAAGCCATACTGTAACACACCAGGTATCCATATGGCACAAGCCAAATGAGCCCAACGTCCATCAGTCGTCGGCTTCATAGCACCTCCTAAAGAAAGTTCAACCACTTACTGGAAATGCATAATTCAAGGCCTTGCACAAAAATAAAATAGCATGCATCAACGTACCTATCACAGGACAAAGACAGCATGGTGGAGGAGTATCAGGGGCCCCTGGGCGACATAAGTTACATAACCACAGCACACCATCAACAGGTTCCAATTCCCCATAGCATCTAGCATGGACCTGTTTTACACAGAATGAAATGTTTTAACTGACTAGAGAAGTAAATTCTTAAAACTTTATACAACAGGTAGTGCGCAATCCATATGGCATCAAGTATGGGCAAAGAATTAGATAATAAAGATTGAAAAAAAGAACCAAATAAGCCCTTACCATCATTCTGCATTTATCACATTGCAAGAAGAGATTGTTCTCATATTCCTACAGAAAAGAAAACTCCGATTAGCAGAACCAAAATAACACAACATCAATTATTTCTTTCTTTTTTTGAAATAAAACATATTTACAGAATATTTACGAATCTGTTAGTATATCTAATACATTCCAAAAATCCTCCAACAATAATCATTTCTCGTTCCAAATAAAAAAACAAAACATGTGAAGACCAGAGAGAATTGTCTCCCTTTCTCTTTGTTCTTCAGTTTTTATTTTTTTTCCCTTTTTGGCTACCAGAGAAGAGATGAACATTGTCGACACAGCAAGACAAGTCAAAAGTTTTTAAAATATGAACAGAAAAGTGTGACAAATCAACACAAAGTTTGGCTTTGCTTACTATAGGTGTTTCTAAGTGGTATGAAGTGTATATAAGTTAAAATGTGTGTTAACTAGGGTAAATGACATATTAGTAATACCTCTTCATTTGTAATTAATTGTATTTTGTTGTATTGTCCTATTAACTTGTATATAAACTTAGTATTCAATGAAACACACGCATTCATTCTTCCATATTGTATTAGAGCTCGAGGACAAAAATCCTAAGTCTCCTTCACTAACTCTAATCGGCCTTCATTACCAAAATAAAACACAGAACCCTAAGGAACCGGCCTTCATTGCTGACCACCAATGCTAAGAACCCGCCTTCATCCCTATCTCCACGCGCCTCCAGTTGCGCACAGCTCTGTTCAACTACATATTCAGCCTCTATCTGCAGGCAGCCCAGCGTGTCTGCCACTGCTCCCTGCAGCTACACCGCCCAGTTGAGCACCTGCCTATCAGCCATAGATCTTCTCCCCCGCGTGCAGCCACCAACTATTCAGCTTCCAGTCGCTGATCTTGTCCAGCCAGTAATCTCCTTCCTATGAATTCCTTATTCGAATTTAGTTGCCCTAAAAACCTTACAGAAATAACGTCCCAAATCACTATACAAATCCCAACATAGGAAATTCAGCATAAAACAATGGCACTGGACACCTTTTTGGCACCGGATCAAAATCATGAGACCCAAATTTTGGTGCTTGGGATAAAGAGAACTCAATAACAATAGCTTGACTGAAATTTTACTTCATCAGAGATAAACAACACAATTATGTTCTTCTACAGCAAAAGAGGTTTGAATGCAGTTAAAGAAACCTATTTTAGAGATAAATATATTACTCAGATATAAGACCTAATGGTCAAGACATGGTTCAAAAAATAGAAAACAAGTCACTCACTGAGTACTCTTTTGAAAAATTGGCGGCAGAAATTGAACCAGGATCACTGCCTTATTATGAACTGTAGCAAGGATGCAACTCGCTTAAAGCAGTTTATAGAAAAAGACCGTGCCTACCAATTCATGGCCGGTCTCAATCTGAAGTTTGATCAAGTCAGGATCCAAATCTTGGAAAAAGAAGAATTATGATCACTGAATGAGGTAATCTCTATTGTTACTGCAAAAAAAAGCAGAAGAGTGGTTATGCTAGAACTTTGCTCCAGTTACAACTTGTTCCTAATCTCTAAAAGTCCCAAACCATGCCAGCAGACAAAAGAGTTGAATCTCACTGAAATCCTAGCCTTCAGTAGAGAAAACAGGGACAATCTTTAGTGTATCTTCTGCAAAAAGACCTCAACATACCAAAGAAAAGTTTCAAAAGCTGAATGAAAAGCCTAATGCCTCTAATAGAGATGAGGATACAATAACAATTTCCAAAAAACTCAAGGACAGACATATAGCCCACCCATAGTGAGAGTAAAAACTCTAGACCTCAGCGATTTTAATATAGAAATTGAATGTTTGATGATACGACTTGAATGCTTGGAAAAACCTAAACGTACAGGTCTTTTGACACATTCAGGTATAGCTTTCTATTTCCCATGGTTTAAATGCCTTAAAGAGACCTCTTTTACTGTCATGGATTGTGAACTTAGGAGCTAGGGACCATATGACAAAGACTTCTAAATTTTTTAATACCTATGCTCCATTTCCGTCAACAAAAAATCGTCACTGCTAATAGTTCACTGACTAGTAGCAGGAGTTGAAAACATAAAATTCAACTCTCACTTTACTATGTACTCCATGTGTCGTACATTATTATTTTTTAAAAAAATAAAAAGTGTAATAAGTATATTAACAAGGTATCAAACAAGGATACCACTCATGTACAAAAGATTTACAAATGTGTTAGAGTGTCAATGACAATCCCAAAATCTACATCACTCTCAAAATCCATGTGTCTACATTATGCCTAAATCTTACATCAATAACTAAATTATCTAAAAACCTTAATTATAAAGTGATTTTTTCTCCCATTCTCATTGTGAATTTCAAGACCAAACATCAAGTAGAATTATTGGGCATGATGAGGCTCGAGACGAGCTAAACTTCTAGGATATGCCTCAGATACCACGTATCTTCCTCTCTATCAATACACCAAATAAATTACGGTTATATCATAGAAGACTATGATACTCTTCTTTCTCTACCCTCAAGGTTATGTTTCCCTCTTTATTTTTCGATTCTAATAATAGTAAAATTACATTGCAATGAATGTGAACTAGCAAAACACTGACTTTTAGTTTTTCTTCCTAGGAAGAAAAGAAAAAAGTTTCCTTTCGCCTTGATTCATATTGATATTTAGGTCCCTCAAACATTCCTAATACTTTTAGAGCTTGATAGCTTGTCTCTTATTAATAATTGTACTCGATAACTTAGTGTTTTTGTTGAAATCTAGAGATGAAGTTACTCATACCCTTCTCTAACTCTGTACTATGATCAAATACAGTTTCGGGGTAAAAATTAAATACTTCTGAATCAGTAATGCCAAAGACCACTCTAACCAAACTCCGTCATCCTTCTTTCAAAAAGAATGAATTGTTAATGAATCTTCTTGTGTCTACACTCCACAACGAAATGGAATAGCTGAACAAACAAACAGCCACGTGCATTTTTGTGTCAAAACCATGTACCTAAACATTATAGGGACGAAGTTGTGTTAACTACCACCTACTTTATAAACCAGTCACTATCTCAGGTACTAGAATTTTGCAATCATATGGAAGTTCTTGCTACTTTTTTTTCCCTAAAGTACAAGTCTCCAATAAAATTATCCCTTAGGTCTTCAGGCATGTTGCCTATGTTCACGTACATCAGTCACAAAGAGGAAAACTTGACCTTAAAGCCATTAGGTTTTAGTAAGCCTTATCTTTTGAGGAAGACTAGTACACTCAATGATGAGGAGGATCAATCTTTTTTATCTTCTCTACCTTGCAAAACTATACCTTTTAAAATAACACAGAAAACCAATGCCCACAACGTGAATTTGACCCCATAACTCCAGAAAATAAGCTTGAACCTCAAACCAGACCAGACCCACAATTTCCCAGGTGTACTAAAAAACAAAGAACTTGGACTAAAATCCAAAACAAGTTCAAGTGTCTGAGTCAAGTGCTTGAAATGAGTAAGCTCTAAGAACTCTCCTTTTTCCTATATTAACATAAATATTACATTCAGAATGAGGACAAGCAAATGCACTAAGCATTCACTCCATCCAATCTCAAACTCTGTATCTCTTGAAAAATGCTCCCAAGCTCACAAGATTTTTCATGATGAATAGAGTATCTATTCCCACCACACTATCTAAGGCTTTAACCAGAGGAATGGAAGAATGATATAAATATTAAATTGGAAGCATAAAAAAAGAATCAAATGTGGAAGTAGTGTAATTACCTAAGGGGAAGACACCGTTAGATTACAAGTAGATACTCACTATCAAATACAAACTTGATGGAACTACTGAAAGATATAACACAAGACTGGTGGCCAAAGGGTTATACCCCTACGAGATTGACTACCAAGAGACATTTGTACGTGTTGCAAAAATGAATACGATACATGTCATATTGTATTTTGCTGCTAATTTCACTTAGCAACTGCAACAATTTCATGTAAAGAACGTTTTCCTGCATGGGAATTTAAAAGAAGAAATTTACATGAAAATTCCTCCCAGTTTTCCAAGAAAGTAGAAACAAACAATGAATAAACTAAAAGATAGTGTACAAGTTTAAGCAATCCCCCAGAGCATGGTTTGAAAGACTTGCAAAAGTAATGTTATCTATAAGATACAGGCAGAGTCAAACACTGTGTTCATTAAATGCTCAGAGCCAAAGGGAGTCACAGCCTCCTGGTACAAGTATATAATATAATTGTTACATGAAATAATAAAGAAGAAAATGTGGTCTGCAAGCAATGTTTGGCTAGAGTTGAAGAAAAAAAAATTGGAGAAGTTAAAATGTTTTCCCAAAATAGAGGTGGCCTACTCAAACTTAGAAATATTCATCCTACACGAAAAATATGTCACACGCCTTTTGAAAGAAACAAACTAGCATGCAAACCTACTAGCACACCAATTGATCCAAATCATAAACTAGGAATAGTAAAAGAAGACATAAACATGGGCAAGGAAATGTACCAGAAACTTGTGTGAAATTGGCATACTTATTACATACCAAGTTAGATATTACAAATGTACTAAGTGTAGTAAGCCCGTTTATGCACAAGCCAAAAGAAGTCCACCTGCAAACTGTCTACAAGATACTCCACTACTTGAACGGTACACCAAGGAAGGAAATTATGTTTAAGGAAACAACGTGCTACTTCTTGAGACATACACTGATGCAGATTATGCAAGACCACTAGTTGACAAAAGATCGACTTCTAGATATTGTACATTTCTTAGAGGGAATCTAATGATTTAGAGAAGTAAAAAGTAGAATGTGGTAACCCAATCTAATACAGAATTAGTGTTGAGAGCAATGGCTTGAGGAGTTTAGGAGCTTTTTATGGTTGAATTTGATTTTTTAAAAGACCTAAAGATTGAATGGGGATAGACCTATAAGTTAGCAATTAATGCCGCTAACAAATCCAGTAAAACAGAACAGAACGAACGACATTGAAGTAGACAAACAAAGACACTTCACCAAAAAAATGTTGGATAGTGGGCTAATATAAACTCCA